GAGATGATTCATTATATATTGCTGCCTAACAAATGATCCTGAACTGCAGTCATTTAAAACAATAATCATGTGTTGTGTCTCATAGTTTCTGTGGTTCAGTAATTCAGGAGCAGCTTGGCCAGAAGGTTTGGCTCAGGCCTTCCAGGAGGTTCAAAAGGCTGTCAGCTGGGAATGTATCGTCTGAAGCTTCTAGAGTGCTGAAGTTTCCAAGGGGTTAAGGCCTGTGTTTAGCAAGTAGCTGCTGGCTGCTGGCAGGAGGCCTCAGCTCCTCTCCAAGTAGGCCTCACCACAGGGCTGCTGGAGCATCTTTACAGCATGGAAATGGGCTTCCCCTATAGCAAGTGCCTGGAAAACCAAGATGGAAGTTCCATGCCTTCTAGAATCTTGCCTTGGAAGTCACTCCCTGTCACCTCTGCAGTATGCTGTTGGTCACACAGGTCAGCCCTAATTCAGTGTGTGTGTAGGGAGGAGTACACAAGGGTGAGCATCATCAAGGGCTGTTTTGGAAGCTGGTTACCACAGGTGGAAAAGGTGAGGACATGTGACATTTTAAAGTGATTAGAGAAGGTTGATGAGCGGGAAGCCATGTTGACCTGTAGGATTGCCATGTAGGCTAGGGGACTCTTTTTGCATTGGTGACCACGTTTTTCTAGAGTGACAGTATCACAGCCCTTGTGCAGGCTGGTCTGCCCAGATGTTGCCAGGGAGAAGGCAGAGGATTGGAATCATGACTGGCCAAAGTTCTGATGGGCTGATGTGAAGCTGGAGGTAGGGATAGGGACACCCGTTGAAATGAGGTTCAGTGAAATCCAAGCTGGGTGAGTATGAAGTGGGGACAGCAGAAGCGTGTTAGGCAGAGGCCTTTATGTGGTCAGTGGACGCATGTGATGAGAGAAAAAGATGAGAGAGCACGATAGAAGTTGAGGGAGTCAGGTTCAGAGAGAGAGGTTTGTGAACTGTTGTTCTTGATGGTGGAACAGAACCAAGGATGATGAAGGCCAGGTGGGACCCACGGGAATGTGTGGCCAAAAGGAAGTGGGTGCAGAGGGCCCCGCAGGTGAGGAGCTCCTGATGGCATCCACGTGAGGTGGAAGCAGAAGCTGAGGAATAATGGGAGTCGGTGCCAGAGTTTCCAGGGAATGAGGGGTTGTAGCCGGGAACGTTTGTGACAACTTGGATGGAAAGAATGTGTCCTGAGACTCAGCAAAGTCACGGTTTTCAAAGAAGGTGGAGCAGTGACGTATTGGTCATACCACTGGGGACAGAGGAAGGCAAGTTTTGCTATCATGTGGCTCTGAATTCATCACCTGCTAAACAGAATAAAGGCTCCGTATGGAAGACAGAACTTGCATTTTCAAAGAGGACTTGATGGACAGACTGAGAAGACCTGTCCTCAGCAGCCCAGGGGGAGGAAGAGTCTGGGAAGATTCTTATATTCTTGTTTATTCCAGAGTGCTGACCCGAGTGCCCTGCAGGAATAAGAGGAGGAGTGTCCTGCTTTTCCCAGTGCCTGGTGTTCAAGAACCTTTGCTGTCAGAGTTACAGGATGGCGACCATTGTCCTACCCCCCACTTGTGGTGAGTTGTTGGGTCCTTTAGCCCTGAGTATAGGCTTTAAAGGCCCACAACCCATGGAGTGGGTACAAGGGACAAGGGGGCCAAGCAGCCGTGGGGAAGAAGGGTTGGGCAGAGCAGGTGAGGTGGGAGACGAGCTCCAGGAGCCCAGAGGTCCCTAGTGTCTGGGATTTGGGACGTAGGTATTTGGGTGTCTGTGGATATATCACCAGTGTTGTGAACGTGAGGGAGCTTTTAAATTACAGGAGACCTCCCTTATCAGTGACAGATATGTTCCAAGACCCCAGGGGATGCCTGAAACCATGGATACTACTGGACCTTATATATGCCATGTTTTTTCTTATACATGCATACATGTGATGAAGTTTAATTTATAAATTTCACACAGTAAAATATTTAAAAATAACTAATAATAAAATATAGCAGTTATGGGGCAGGCCCGTAGCTCACTAGGGAGAGTGTGGTGCTGATAACACCAAGGCCACAGGTTCAGATCCCATATAGGGATGGCCGGTTGGCTCACTGGGTGAGCCTGGTGCTGACAACACCAAGTCAAGGGTTAAGATCCCCTTACCGGTCATCTTTAAAAAAAAAAAACATATATATATAGCAGTTATAATACTATACTGTAATAAAAGTTACATAAACATGCTTTCTCTCTCTCTGTCTCTCAAT